CCCTTAATATACCTTTCCCTTCCATCTTTGATGTTACGGGCAAGGTAAAAAAAAAAATGCCTGCCAGTCGACCATCTTTGATCCAATTGCGATAATGATCGTCATGAACATGTATCCTAACATGTATAATCTATGTACCAAGTTTGAATGACAACTGACAAAGCATGTCCAAAATACAACATTTTCAAAAAACAAGATGGCTGTCAGTCTGCCATTTTGAATCAAATTGCTAAACCACTGCATGTGCATATGTCCCACATAAGGTACTAGGCACATGCAAAGAATGAACGGAATCGGTCCACAGGATTCTGAAATATGACTCTTGCACAGATTGAGGGACGGACGGACTGACAGACTCAGGAATTGAGGGACTGACAGACTCAGGAACTCACGGACGGTCGGGGACATGTATTCTAACATGTATGATCTATGTACTAAATTTGAATGAAAACTGACAATGCATGTTCAAAATACAACATTTTCAAAAAACAAGATGGCTGCCAGTTGGCCATCTTTGATCCAATTGTAAAATAAATCGTAATGGACATGTATCCTAACATGTTTAATCTATGTACCAAGTTTGAATGAAAACTGATAAAGCATGTCCAAAATACAACATTTTCAAAAAACAAGATGGCTGCCAGTCGGCCATTTTGAATGGAATCGCTAAACCACTGCATGTGCATATGTTCCACATAAAGTACTAGGCACATGCAAAGAATGAACGGAATCGGTCCAAGGGATTCTGAGATATGACTCCGGACGGACGCATAGACGCACGGACGGAGGAAAACCGAATTATAAGTCCCCGTTTTCGGACTTCATCCGAAAGGGGACTAATAAAATTGCCATGGCTAGGCCAGTTTTTAAAATAATTTCATCTGCCAGAAAACTTATTATTTCTAGCACCATTGAATTATGGAAAGCTTGTCTGTGTTGATCGTGATTAGGTATAGTTTGGGAGAGATAATACCCTATTTGCTCAATTAGCATGCACTTGCGTAAATTCTAGAGATGTTTTCAACATAAATAATATTTTGATGATCCAGTATACAACAATAAATGTAGTTTTGGGGTTATACGTGTTTCTATTGGAGGTGCACTTCTCATAGAGCAAATATGATAATTATCATATAATTTAGTTCATGGATAATAAAAAAAAAGTACTTAAACTTGTACCTGACAGAAATCAGCACATTTTTCAGACACTGTAAAGAATCCTTTTTCATTGGAGCATCTGAATAGTCTCGCACATCTCATATAATCAGCTTCAGTATCGTATGATTTCTTACCGCCGATGCCAACCCAGAAAAAATTCTCAGGTTCTTCACCTTCCTCAATCATCTGAACACTGAATGTCTAAAAAAAAAAAAAAGTATTCAGTCAATTCCTTGTTTTTTTTCCCCACAAAAATTTTAGTGCAATCTTTTGAAAATTTTTGTGTATTTTCCATAATGTAAATTGACACAACTTTCAAGAAAGAAAAAGTTATGGTTTATTCCGTGACAGGTGGCAAAAGTTGACTTTAGCATTCAATGGGGTAAGGTCCGAGGGTGGGGGTTGTCCCAAATTCACCACTTCTGTCTGAAAAGGGGTCCATATTTCCCAAAGAGCTTGAGTGATCCAACAATCAGGAGAATGAAGCTGATTTCTTCTTTCTGTAACTTCATTTTGATTGTCAATGTCTATCCCCGGGAGTCCACCTGCTTTTCCCTTGGTACCATATATGCTTACTGTCTGGAAAGGGGTGTCAAATATCCACAATTTGTCTGAAAAGGGGTGGGCATTTTGAGTTTATGTCTGTCTGATAAGGGGTAGGGGTTTCAAACAACTAGCTACACACTCCTGTCAGTATTTTTTCCAAGTACCCCCCCCCCCCCCAGGAAGGGGGTAAGGTAGCAGCCACATAACCAGCACTCATGATGGAAAATTTGAGTCAATACTAGATTTTTGAATATAGTGTTTGCCAATCATGCAAAATGATCACAGTGAAAATACATTTTAAGTACAACAAGCTGTTACAGACTGGTTGGTATAAATGTATAATTTACCAACACGATGGCCGCCAGTCAGCCACTATATTTGCTCAGAGACTAATAAATTAGATAATACAAGCACAGTTACCCCAAACAAGTCTCTGGAAATTTCTTCTGCTAATTTTGCTTCCTCAGGGTCAGCCTTGCTACCGATCCATACATACACTATGCCATTTTCTTGGTTATCAAACGGTACTTTCAGCATGTAACTGAAATCAATCAAATGTCCAGTTATTACGAGGTGTATCATACTTTGGCTAATATCTGCTTTCTGCAAAGCAGGCACAAAAAGTGTAAGAATATAACACAGACTCCAATATAGGTTTTTAACAATATTTTGGGGAATTATATTTTCAGTTTCCACCGTAAATGACGATAATTATTCATTAAAAACAGAAAATAATGAACAAATCTGAAAAGAGAGGCCTAGCCAATATATAAGTAAGAAGTATGAAAGCATTCGGTCTGGCAGTTTATACTTGCACACATTTTGCAGGTTTCATCAATTCATCAACAGAGGGCGCTGTGCAATGGCGAAATACCGTAAAATATTTTTGCTTGGAATAAATTGATTCAGTGGGAAAAAAAATCAAGCGAATATACCTTTTATTCTATATTTTACATTCAACTCATCAAAAATCAGTGAAAATAAATTCCATACAAAACACCCAAAACGCCTTTTCAGCAAAAATGAATTTCAGTGAAAATAAATTATTTCACAGTAATTGGAAAAAATACGGCTTGAGTAATTTTTTTGATGATACACACACTGACCAAAAACATTTTAGATACTTTCATTAAGCAGGCAAATCTGATTCAGATCTCTCCATATCAAAGCATGTAGTTTCCATGAAAATATCTTACTAACTTTTTACAAAAAATGATAAAAATTTAATTTAATTTACAGCACATCAAACTTTTTTTAAAAAATCTTAAATTGCAAAAGGTAGTAATATTACAACATACCAGAATTCAGAGTTTAGTAATTTAGCCGATGGATTGATTTGAATACATCTTGTACATATAGCGGTACCATTGGATCTGATGTGGTACAATTCAGGCATCAATTCCATACCAGGTGGTTTAGGAGCATTACGTTTACCAAGACAGATTGTAAACTTCCTCTTGAAATGAGACATAAATTTCAAATTCTCTTGTTGCTGTAATAGAAATAATGTTTCTAATTGAAAAACAATTCAACTGATGAAAGCAATATGGAGGTGTGACTTTCACGTTTTAAATCAGTGCATAGTTACATAAACATCATTGTAGACATCTTCGCTAGCCAAAGTCTAAGTTTATTCGGCCAAGCCTCTAAACAGACCTTGGCAGAACGCCCATCAAATATGCGTATTCTAACAGTAGTAAGTTGCGGCTAATCATTGTCCAATCAGTTTGCGTATTACAAATCCCTCTTTGGCGGCGCCCATGAATCGTGATATTTCTGATGATAAAATTGCGAAAGTTTTCGGTGTTGGTGCCCTCAAGCCTCATCAGGTACAGGCAATCGACGCAGTTTTGTGCGGGAAGGATGTCTTCATAGCGACAAAAACAGGGAGTGGAATTTTGTTTTATAATTTGGTACGTCCAAGCTGATTGGGCACCTTGTTTTGAGGCACTCCCAATCAGATCTCACTGCTTAAGATACGCAATTAGCCTATGCGATCCCGCACGGTATCGTGTAGAGGCCTATAGGTCGACAAAGGACCGTGCCATTCGGATGATGCATTGTGGAGGGAAACAAATAACTATGTTTAGATCTTTTTACTGAGTAGTGGACTCATCAACTCCAGTTATACGATAAGTCTGTGAATTAGACTGTTTCTTTAATGAATTGAAATGAACTGAACTGAACTGAACTAATCTAATAGAGGTCCAACTAAGGTACACAAGGTCATCGAAAACCGGACAATCATCTATACTACAAGCTCCACCTGTCATTTTTGATGACAGTATACCTAATAAACAGATTAAATATAAATAAACAAACAAAATAAGTAACTTCTACTCTGTTTAGACTAGCACGCACAGGGGAAAACATTTTGACGATACCTGACACAGTCTCACAACTTCTAATTTATCACCGAAGAGATTTTCAAACTTCTTCTGTAAACTGAATGTAAACGTCAGCCATCCCATTTTACTGGCGTCTCTTCCTTGCCAGAAATACACGGTATACTGAAATTCATCTTCTGAAGTGTCATCTTCTTCCTCATCAATAATATCTTCTTGACCATCTTCCAGCTCCTTGGGTACCCAGTAACGACACAGGAATACGTAGCAATCGGCACTGTAGAAAAACCCTAAAACCAACATCAAAAAATACGTAAGGTATGCAAGATTCATAACAATGTGTGGTGACAGGGAGTGAAGATTTCATTCTGTACAACAAAGAGAATCACATATCTTTTTGGATGTTTGTTAGTAAAATAGGATCATTTGAAATGAGCCAAGTTATCACTTTGATTTTGTGAGATACTAATTTTTACGAATTTCGTTACAAACATTGTTAAAAAAATCTCTGACATGCAATGGCAGCACCTTTCGTGGAATTTATACTTTTACGAATGTCATCCAAAAGTGAAAAATTCTAACAGTGAAGATTAAGCAGTTTGCATCACGTATACTGTGAATGTATAAGAGCACAGTCTAAGATGAACATGAATATTTTATTTTTTTACATCATGTTTGAACACATTGTGTACTGCTAGTAAACTCACCATTTTCTTCCTCTGGTAATCTTACAAATTTCTTTCCTTCTAAAACAAATGATTCCATACCATCTAAGTCATCATTCCATTCATCCATCAATTGCTCCTGAAAAGATCAGCAAGAGCATGTATCATAGTAATATTAAAAATACTTAACTTAGGTATGTAGTAGGACTTATTGTAAACTTTTTTAATTTCTGAGAGGTGATTGTTAGTGAGTCAGTTAAATAAAAACGCTTGTAACAATGAACATTTTATTCAGACATACAAGACAATCACAGTGACTTTCACGAATTTCATCCTCATGAATAACTTAAATTAGCAAATCACAAAAAAACACAGTGGGGAAAAATTTAATGATTTTAAAGGGACATAAGCTAAAGCGTTGTTGTTTATTTTTTTAATCAATGATGACATGTACCGGGGGGTATTCACCTAAAAACAAAATGGCTACTCATCAGCAATCTTTGATACACGTTGGAAACAAATTCGATCAATACACTGGAAATGAACCAATCTTTTGTACAACTACCGGTACTAACTAAGATTGACTAATGTTAAAATGCTTAATAACATAAGAGATTTGGCTACTCACAGCTTCAGCATTGGACATTGCTGGCTGTCTTGGCATGAATAGTGCAGACAAATCAGTCTTGACTTCAGGTTTGCTTTCCTATAACACAATACAAAGTTATTATAAATGTATTACAAATAACTTGATGACACACAATATAGTTTTTCTATAATAGCAACTATGTGTTGGTTCAAAGTGTACATACACCAAACATATAATTAAGTAGTACATGTGTAATTAATTATGACGCGATAAGTTCCTGTACATATCCATTGCAATATTATATAGGAACACTGAATTGTGTGCTATGACATTTACATCATTTGTCAAGGAATGCAGAGGCAATAGTTTACGAAATATCCTAGGTATCCATCCAAGCATGTTCAAGGTCAGATGCATTAATACTTGAAACTTGAATAAACTCTATGTATGTACCGGTAGTAAACTTACCATTCAGCATCAGCTCTGAGTGTGAACAACTTTTATATATCAGTAGTTGCTCATTCGTATGATGTTATGCTAACATGATTGATATGATGCCAATACAACAAAGATGTGACATGAATTATATGCCAAGCAACAAATGAAATGAAAGCACAACTGTACATTAGCTTCGACTGTGTGTACCCATGCTGCTCGCCCTCATCTCTAGAAAGATAAGTGACTGCAATATCAAACTCAAAAAGGCAGTCAGATTGTACTTACCAGACCTTTGATCTTAGTTTGTTGTTTGTT